GTCTCACTGTGCAGTTGAGTTCAATTACGGCCTTATAAACTGTTTGTTGAAATGTTCGTACAAAAAACGCCAGTTTCCGGGAAAAACACTTACTCAGTTTCCGGGCTCATTAGTGAAGCCAAAGGTCCAGATTATCTCACAACCGTGGAATCTACAACGCAAGGAAATTTGTCTACATTATCGAAGAATAACATGTGATGTTAGCCCACTATCTTACCGTTTAGTCACTTTTCCTTCTGGAAAGTGTTTCGAAGTCTGTTACGTCCACTGTGCCAAAAATCAATTATGATAGCTTAGCACTGTGAGCAGTCCGTCTACCGATGAGATTTGTGTACTGTTCCGGTGGTATCCTATTTGCTGGCCGTATGTGGGGATGCTACTTGTTCTGTAGATCTACTGGACCATGTTGCCGTATCTGTCACTGTGATTTGGCTTGTTGCTTCGCCCTGTCATCGTGGTATGTGCAGAGGTTTCGCCAATTATACTTTTATATTCACAGTCCTGAATGTCTAATATTATTGCATTTTCATACTTGGGCTGTCTCTAAAAGCCCATTTTCGTCCGAATAAACATATAGGAAAATCTCTTTCACAGGTCTTCAATTTGCTCCAAAGCGTAATTTCCGGAGATTTTAGAAGTACTACAGTCGTTGTTGCATGTTAACGTGGCACATAGCAGATAAATGAATACATAATTGTCACTTAAAAGTACAAACCCATGACCGGTGTGATCACCACAATTAGACTTGGTAACATCCGCGTTGTTGTGGGACACCAGTAACCGCAAACAATTATGAAATCACTCACTATATGGGACAATGCAGAAGTGAATTTATGTTCAGTTCAACTTCCCCGATCTGACTATAAATATTGTTGAACTTGGTGAGGACAGAGCTTCTGTCACAAAAATAGCACAAATGGAACTATCCAGCGGGAACCACATTTTTCTCTTTATCGCCTTTGCTCGTTTGCTGCTTTGTGAGTGCCAGGTCGAACAAGACTCACGTAAGTGTACAATGAAGTGAATAGTGCCTTTTTGATATTTCGTTAGCTCTACTCCACTACTCTGAACTTACTGAATATGTTAGTAAATCATTTTTGTTTCGGGTCATTTCTGTTGTATTTAATAACGTTAAATTAGGCGCTAATATACTGCACCATATTCCTGCTTTACCGGATTCACTAAAAAGTCATTCTTGATTTATTGTTTATTCGAGATTCCACAACCTTCCATATCGTCATTTTCCGGATAGCTTAGCTTCTCATCCATTGTTGAAGGCCCCACACACAAAACTCACCAGTAGTTCCATCGACTAGATAGTTAGAACCGATTAATAATCCAGCATACATCAGGGTAAGAGATTTGACCTATAACCCAGTAGACTCACGAAGTGCAATTTGTGTGGATGCTCTAATATCACAGACCTATGATGTCAGTGAAGAGTAATGACGGTGAACAGCCTAGATGTCATGGATTGAAAATCAAATGGGTAAATAATGACATGGTCAGAGTCCTGAAGAGTATCCTAGAATAGCCGAAACCTACTGAGACTTTCAAAATCCACTAAAAGCGATCAGACGACCTTGGATCAAGGTCAGGCAGTACCCTTTAATATATTGCTCGAGGCTGCTGTACTTTCTCACTCGCTTGCAGGAATAAAGCTGTTGTGTTCCTTGTCGCCGAATCTTTTCCCGGCACTCGGAACTGGATCGGGGACAGAGGTTAGATATAACAACATGGATCCACAATAGATTAAGCTCTACTTCTGTCTAACGGAATAAATATGAGATGAGATCAAAAAGGTGGAACGAGACAATTTAGGCGCCGAAAATCTAATGTTTCAGGAGAAAAACGCCCATACGAATTCTTTCAGAGAAATAAATACTCTGGGAATTCCATCTGGAGACCACTGAGAATGCTAAGTATGACTGATACAACTGCACAAAGTGGAAGAAAATGCGTCACAGTCTCATACACAACGAGCATAGGCAAAATGACTGCAAAGCTCTTAATATAACACAACACAACGGTCGCCTTCAACATACCAGCACGAAACCAGTTGAAGCAAACGAAGAAACTACTAAAAATAGAAGAAACAGGGATAACCGATCGACTTGACAGAACGCAGACCGCAAAGCAACAAAGATCACAAACGGACTAATAAACTCACCAAAGCGTTGTCTCCCAATTAGCCAATCACGTTGAGAGATAACGGATAGTCCTCAAATGCCATATAGGCACACGAGGCGAAGAGGAAGTAACCACCTAACTGCGAACTGATGATGGTGACGAAAGGTTTGCAATTCAATTGCGAAGCTCGGCGAAGATTTCAACAGCCACTTAATCAACAACCAATAAACCAAATTGAACGATAATGCTAGCAATGACGAGTGAAATTTAAACCAGTTCGTGGCATGCCTTAGATGATATTTGGAGACCTAACCGAAATTTAGAAGTCGTCCTGGAGGATCAAGTTGTGCATGATTCACAAAAACAAATAAAATGAGATAACTTTTCCTGACGAAACATAAAATATAAGGTTGCTGAGGGCTCTCTGAAAATCCAACTCCGGTTTCACACTCTCTGGGTCGCAGCTCCAAGTTTTCACTGATTCTGTTTTTTACTTGAACTCATATCGTACACAGCAAATTCAAGTGAAAGATTTTTAAATGAGAGATTAGGTTGGGACTTAACTGAGCCTCAGATCTAAAACAACTCGGTTTGCAAGTGAGGGTACAAGTTGGATTCAAGAAGAACATGAGGTTGACAGAACTTGTGGACAGCGTCTATCTTATAGGCTTCGAGAACGGCGATACCTGTCGAGGGCTAGTGAACTGTTCCCAGATACCTTATGAATAGTTTGTTTTCTCGAGGCATTGTACCCAAATGTCTTGAATATCCTATCAGTTAAGACGTAAGGTGGCCTTTGTGCAGCACTTTCGTTTAGTTAGTATCGTAAGGTTCAACTGAGTCTCCAAGCAAAATCAAATTGGTCTGCAACTGAGTGCCATTCGCAAGAGTAAATAACACTCAAGATATCTACCAAAAACATTTATTGGATACCGGGCAACTTTCAGTTCGTAGAAAATTTGCTTGGCTTTTCGTGAGAAAGAGCAGGTGATGAAATTCTAATAGTTTCTGAGTAGGTTTCAACAAACAACATATGAACGCGAAGGTCTCTGGATGTATAAAATGAACTTGGCTCAATGTGCAAACAAGATGGAAGGTGTACAGGTCCGCTGAACGCAACCACATCAACATGACCACTTTGAATTACTGACCGGCCCGTTTTAGTCCGAATTCGATGGGGGCTCCGACGATCAACCCGTGAGATTGCAGTTTACCCTCAACCTTCTACAATTTATCCTATCACCGCCATATTCGATGACTGCCTACCGAGTGATTGTCACTGCATACCGCACAATTCACATGGTCACAGGATGAAGCTGAACGCTGCAGATGTTTGTCAAGAGACCTAAATTTGGACAAATGGCGGGCAAACATTTCTAGACGTCTGTTGCACCACTCACTCTACACATTGTTTATTTGCTCTGTGGTCACATAACTGTGATATGCGTACCTGTGTTTATTCAACTGGACTCAAGAATTGAATCAATAGCCAAGTCTGTTAACTTTCGGGTGAAACCAGAATTTTTTTGAAATAGACGGTGAATAAAAATATTGGATGTTTCATTGTTAATGGAACTCCTTTGCCGGTCTGCGTTATAGCTGGGAAAAGCATGGTTCCTTGGGTGTAGTAATTAGTCTCTGGGGATAGCATGAATAGGCATATTGGTGTCTTGATAGTAGGCCACACTGTCCATTGCTTTGGGCGGAAGAGATTCAAGGAAACCTCAAAACCTAAGCAGTGAACACTGACTTTCAACCAGACCAACTGATGAACACGAAAGGAATTGATATTCCATAATTAGGTAGGTAATTAATGTTGGCTAAGCCTGGATATAATATCCTATCGCTGAGCACCCAGCGAAACAATCAATGTTGAGGTTTCCGAACCTTGAGTGACGCGTAGGTTCGACAGTTCCGCATATCCAAAAGAAGAATTGGGTTCGTAATTCTACGGTACTATTTACACAAGGGTAAGCAAATGCGTACAACAAACCTCAATTGTTCACGTTCGCGGTAGCATTTGTCCCCCAGCGCCATTTGTTGGGAGTTTGTTAGATGAAACTATTTGTAAACATCCCCAAGTCAGATTACTGCCTACCCTACCCCTCAACTAACCGGCCACTGAAAATCAGAAACTCCGGATGTTACTTAGATGACCTTGATCTCAACTCCATCAATGAAGAAATGTGATTCTGACCGAGCTCAGCGAAGTTATTCGCTTTGAAGACCACTGTAGGTTTTACCCACTTTCAAGAACTAAAAGTTGTGTGCAAGCACTGAACATTTAGAGCGTAAATTGCTTATTCGAAAGATAAGAAATCCATCTCCTTATGCAGGGAAACACTTACAGTTCCACAGCGCTTGTATAAACTTGTTTTTCGACCGTTTGTCCCGTTTGGGGCTCATTGAAATGAACCTAGGAAACATTGATACAACGGTATAATCACGGTATAATCATGAAGCACCACGAATATTATACTCTATGGGTATTAAACCTCCTGTTGGTTGTCGATTAGGTTTTTCTTAGTCTGCGTGCCGAACTTGGCAATTAACTTGCAACTAAATTGTCGACCTCGGGGAACACATTAACAGCCACCTGATCAACAGCCAATAAACTCACCCGAGCTGCCAATAATTCAACAGCCTATCAACTAAACCCCTTTTTTCCGGGTGAGTATATCCCATGAAAGCATCTCTGATTATTCGCTCGGTTCACTCTATCTAAAGAAGACTTGATCACCAGACTGCCACTGTTGTATGATAGGTTGTATGATAGGTTTGTCCTCTGCGATTTCAGCTATTCAGGTCAGTTTTCTGTCCACTTGTACACGAAAATCTTTGAGTTCATATTCGCTTTACTCGCTAAAGGTTGTTATGACACATCCGCATTATCTCCTAAGTCGGGTGTTGTCTATTCACATGCACGTTACGGTAAGGAGAAGTACCCATCGGAGCTTCATTGCAGCTACGAAATTCGTGGAACAGCGAACAGCGAGTTCAAGGTTGATATCGTGGATATGGACATTGAAGAATCAGGACAGTAAGTATAGCCATCTTTTGCGCACACAACATTAAATCTGTTTTTCTAGTAGGTGTGTGTGCACCTTATCTCACACTGAGCTTCCCAGATAATTTTACACCAAGCTAACTTTTGTGTAACTATTGGTGCAGTAATTCTGACTGCCCGGGAATCTCCACCAATAGCTCATATCTAAAGCTCACTGAGCTGATAAGAACGCCAGACTTTAGTAGTGGATGGCAGAAATGTTGATCACTCCACTCTCTGTGAGACTTTCTATGGTAAAATCTCCATGAGAATCAGTTTCGGGCAGTGAGGATGTTTTCTAAAAGGTTTTGATTACTTGAACTATTTAAAATTCATCAGTAGTCTAGATAAGGCTGTATAGTGAGGAATCAGATGACTCCGAAAATCCGAGTTGGAGCCGTTTCAAACACGAGGTTCATATGTGGTTGGACATTTGAAGAGGTCTCTTGCATGAAAGCCACAACAACTCAAGGTTGGCGTGGCAAAAAGGAACGGCTTCGGAGTCGCTATTATTAGGTTTTCTGCTACAGTGTATAATACTTGTACACTACCATATGACCCGGCTGCTTTTCAAATGCGAGGAATGTAATGGTCGACTATCCACATGTTGCTCACGGTTATATCCTGTGTAACAAGCAGACGATATCTGGGACATGAGCTTTTTGAGCTACTAAGTTTCTTTCATAGCCTCTTATCAACTCAGCCTGTGGCTCTTACCGCCACAACACAGAAAAACTTGACTATCGTCTCTCTTTTGTTTCGTTGCACTATGTAGCGCTCTATATGTATTGGCTGAATTCTCATTAACCACCAGATTCTTCTGGTGTTCCATTTCAGCTATTCAGGTCAGTTTTCTGTCCACTTGTACACGAAAATCTTTGAGTTCATATTCGCTTTACTCGCTAAAGGTTGTTATGACACATCCGCATTATCTCCTAAGTCGGGTGTTGTCTATTCACATGCACGTTACGGTAAGGAGAAGTACCCATCGGAGCTTCATTGCAGCTACGAAATTCGTGGAACAGCGAACAGCGAGTTCAAGGTTGATATCGTGGATATGGACATTGAAGAATCAGGACAGTAAGTATAGCCATCTTTTGCGCACACAACATTAAATCTGTTTTTCTAGTAGGTGTGTGTGCACCTTATCTCACACTGAGCTTCCCAGATAATTTTACACCAAGCTAACTTTTGTGTAACTATTGGTGCAGTAATTCTGACTGCCCGGGAATCTCCACCAATAGCTCATATCTAAAGCTCACTGAGCTGATAAGAACGCCAGACTTTAGTAGTGGATGGCAGAAATGTTGATCACTCCACTCTCTGTGAGACTTTCTATGGTAAAATCTCCATGAGAATCAGTTTCGGGCAGTGAGGATGTTTTCTAAAAGGTTTTGATTACTTGAACTATTTAAAATTCATCAGTAGTCTAGATAAGGCTGTATAGTGAGGAATCAGATGACTCCGAAAATCCGAGTTGGAGCCGTTTCAAACACGAGGTTCATATGTGGTTGGACATTTGGAGAGGTCTCTTGCATGAAAGCCACAACAACTCAAGGTTGGCGTGGCAAAAAGGAACGGCTTCGGAGTCGCTATTATTAGGTTTTCTGCTACAGTGTATAATACTTGTACACTACCATATGACCCGGCTGCTTTTCAAATGCGAGGAATGTAATGGTCGACTATCCACATGTTGCTCACGGTTATATCCTGTGTAACAAGCAGACGATATCTGGGACATGAGCTTTTTGAGCTACTAAGTTTCTTTCATAGCCTCTTATCAACTCAGCCTGTGGCTCTTACCGCCACAACACAGAAAAACTTGACTATCGTCTCTCTTTTGTTTCGTTGCACTATGTAGCGCTCTATATGTATTGGCTGAATTCTCATTAACCACCAGATTCTTCTGGTGTTCCACTGCAAATAAAGCAGTGCAAAGGCGCAGAGTAACATTAGCAGTTCCACTTGGTAATTCCAGATGCTACTCAAAACTGATGGACGATTAGATCTTCACTTGGTACAACTAAATTAAGGGGTCCAACTGCACACCAGGAGACTCAGCAAACTTCATACCATGCTGCAAATACTATTGCGTATGTTTTCCATGCTATTATTGACGAAAGCAAAGGACTTGAAATTTTTATCCTGCTAAGACTGGTTTTATTGTGAACTGAATCATACTTTTGAAGGATTTTGCTCTGGTTTGGATCCTGCGATAATAGTATGAGATATAAATAGGTGCTTGTTCATATGCATACTAAGAAAATATTCGGACCGTTCTCTTGGTCAACCGTATTCGAGTGGTAATGTGTGACATTTTGTAAATCAGTTCCCTTACTTTATGCAACAAACTCAGATGCCTATTCGACTATATGAGCATTGGTGCCTACGAATCGGACGATCCATACTACTTTTGTGGAAAAGACAAACCATCGTTCCCGATCCTCATTCCAAGTTCATCCCTTCTGATCACTTTTGCATCGGACGCTGCAAACGACGCGAAAGGATTTAACCTTACGTACGAGGCGATAGAAAAAGAACCGTTGAATACAACACAATGTGGATTTGCTCCAAAACAAAAGACAGTTTCTAAAATCGCTCGGCTAATTGGTGGCATGCCTGTTACACTGGGGCAGTGGCCTTGGATGGTATCCTTGTGGGACTCAGGCGTGTTCAAATGTGGAGCTAGTATCCTCAACAAAAATTGGCTGCTTACGGCAGCGCACTGCTTTGCGAAGTGAGTGACGTTAGGCGAAAACCTATTGATATTTTTTTGCTTTCTACGAACGGCCATCTACTAACGAAGCGCTTTCAGTTTTGAAAATTAGTAAAAAACTGTGGCTGTACAGATATTATTTATTTTAAACGCGAAATTGGTCTTAAATAGCAGCACGAGAAAAATCCATGTAGAGTAATCACGTGAATTCGGCACGAACTTTTTAGCAAGGATTAGAGCCTCATAAATTCAGTCGAATGCGATTATATCTAATGGCTCATCCAGTTTGATGCAGGGCTCAATAAATTACCGCATGGTTTCGAAGTGACTGAACTATGAACATATGTTTTATGTTTGCACCCAGACTGGATACCATTATTTCACTCTTCTCATTCACGGAACATTTTTCCTCTGTGGGTCACTTTGTTAGATTCCAACTAATTTGGTACTCTACTCTGCTACTTCATGCTTTTGGCTGTTAAGCACGTGCCTGCTGACCTTCTGATGGAGCCTGACAATTTGCTTGCAACAAACAGGTCTACAACCACAATAAACTAATCTGATGTACCGATACCCCGACACAACAGTCCATGCTTTTCTAAATGCAACTAAGGTGACAGCGTTGGAACCTATTATTTATTCACCTGCACCAAACTGGTTCTAGTATGTAAGTAATGAAGAAAAATTAAATTTTTGATCGGAAATGCACCCTACAAGCGAAGTTAGGGTAAACAGAGGAGCGGCTTCATTGTTGTAAAGAAGTTACGCAATGCGGATTATGCAGCCGAATGATACTGACATTATATGTTCTCTACACATTACGGACTGTAGCCAACTGATGATGTGCCCACAATTCTGTCCGGAAATACCAAAATTCGAATGTATATAGAGATTTGTGACGTGCACACTGTTGCAGATTACCAACAAGAATTAAAGTCGTACTTTAATCCCAGTCTTTCAGCATAGAGTTATTCCATTAGCAGGAGGGAACGTAGGTTGAATTTAGTTTGGTGGGATGAAACACACTACATTCACTCTCTGTCTCTCTTGGGAGAGGCCAAAGTGGTCGCATAATGTGGTTTATCCATTAACAGTTTGTCTCTGAGTGGGCGCTTCTGTGATTTTAAATACAGACGCTGCATGCGAAAAACTGAGTAGTAAAAGCTGAGGAAGTTTACTGATGTTCACAGTCGGCAAGAATCAGTCATGTGGGTTCAAATAAACAGATGAGCGCGTCGACCTTGAGTTGTTACCAGATGTGTAGAGATCGAAATGACTAATAAGTCAGGGGAAGTTTAAACGAAATTTCGTGCACAGAATATACGAACACACCAACCATCTAAAGCTAAGATATAAGCACTTTCCTTGAGTGGCAGTTTTACCGACAAGTGTCTGCCGTTTCAGCGAAAACAGGCTAAGGTCATTTCTTGTGGGCACACTTATGAGCCATGCAGAACAGCTGCTACCGGCAGAAATACAAAACTGGATGGTTTAAAACGGCACTAGAAGACAGCTCCGCGATCTGTTCAAATCAGGATCAGCAGCGCCCACAAGCAATTAAATCTCATGGTAGAGTGAGTGACATTAGAGCACACTAATTCTCAAGGTCAGCCTGACTAAATACCCCAATACAGCAGTATCAGGGGGTATACACAAAAGATTATTGATGAGTGTGCATTATGTTCACTTCAAAAGTTTTGCGCCCGTTAGACACAATTGCGCACTTGAACGAACTCTGCTCAGCAGATCGTATGTAGTTGTCTGTACTTAATATCACTTGAGCGATCATTCAGCTGTGATCGGAACGCCATTGAGCTGTACATCCTACATCACAACTTTGGCCCTTTGTATATTTACCTATAGGGAAATATTATCTTCATGTTCTCGATAATATCGCTTGACGTATTCAATAATCCTTACTTAATAAACTTATTCGTGCGTAGATTTTGAGGCCGTACAATGCCTGGAATCCTACCAGGATTAAAGAAAGCTTCCGATGTGTTTCTAACTTCTTCGTTTGCTTATTTACCAGGGACTTCACCCCATCCACATGGCATGCTGTCGTGGGTGATCTTCTGTTGGATCGATTCGACACTCAAGAACAACACATTGAGGTTAAGCAGATCCATATTCATCCAGAATATAGGTCGCGTGGACGCTACGATAACGATATAGCGCTGATCGAACTTAAGTCACCCATTATCTACGGACGAACGGCCATCCCAATTTGTCTGGAATCCCCGGATTCACAAACCACTGTGGAAGCTGATGCACTGGAGCCTAATTCCAATGTGACATGCTATATTGCTGGCTGGGGACGTTCAGAAAGTAAGTTGAGTTCAACGTTTGATTCTTTGAGAAAATTCGTTTCCCGGGAGCTGACTGTGTCTGTGACCGGCCTGTTAGAAGTTCCTTAAGAAAATAGTCGAGCACATTTTTACTGAAATTCCTGCAGGTTAATATTAGGCTTATTTTCAGTCAATTATTCTCATTAGCGGGCGCGGAACATTTTCCCCTTTAGTGAAATCACCTTATTCGATGAGGTATCTTTCGCTCACCGCCCAGAATGCTAACATTATTATTCTCTTAACAGAAAGATATACCACAGAGTATAACAGAGCTTAACAATAGGTGGGGTGTATACCAATGCAATTTATTAGGTACCAGCTAGATTCGGTCCGATTAATGCTTACTCAGAAGGACTACAAATCGAAAACCAGGTATGAATTTCCTTAAGCTTCACTACTGAGCATAAGAAATCTTCTCAGAAACTTGAGATAACCAGCACCTGAATGCCTGAATATAGGTTTGAGGCAGAGTATGTTGTCACTAACAAGGTGAAAAGGAGCAGGGACGTTTGATTAAAAAACTCTAGAAAGGCGTAAATTCGTGCGACAATAGCGCTCGAAAGGCCAAGCCCAACTTCATCCGCAAATTGTTAGAAGCCATCAGATGAAGCAAGCTTCGTCCACCAACTTTCAACTGGAGCTCAAATAGTTGATGGCGTTAAGTTTCTGAGGTCAGTTTGTCCCTGGTGACTTAAGCGATCCGATCGCTACAGATTATCCCTCGCTATCGTGAAATTCGTCGCTGACTACAAAGTATACCTTCTAGAATCAACCAGGTGGTTCCAGCGTATTCTACGCAGGTACTACATTATGTACTAGTCTCGAGCTCGTCAATGTTGTGGGTCCTTTAAAACGCATGCCGGAACTCTTATCACACAGAAACAGGAACCTAGGCTGAGTACTTTGGGCTTTGGGGCTTCGACTTACTCATATCACTCTCTTGATTCTTCTTTTTCTTTGGCTATTCTGGTTAGTCCATATCAAAGGTAAAACACTAGTCGGTCAGCTATTTATTCAGCGAGTAATCCGTGAACCATAAAGCATTGCTCTCGGCTCCTACATTTTCGTTTAACCAGGTTAAAGAGAATAAGGGGATGACGGCCGGGCGTTAAAAGCACTACCCTAATCAGCTCATTGAGATTAAATTGCTCAGTTCGTCTTATAAATTAGGAAGTACGTTAGTTGTACATATGAATGAATAACTTGGATTTGAGACTGTTTTTGACTGCGCAACAGTGTCATATCTGTCAGGGTCAATTTCATCGCTTTGCTTCGTTCCTGGCAGCTACCAACGCAAATCAGGTGACTGGTAATAGCTTATGCTTATCAGCGAAATCGTGGATTGACCGCTTTCGACTTGTCTCCGCTTGACATACATGTGGGTACAAGTTTCTGTGAGGCAAACGGTTATCTGGCATATGAAGCATACGACCTAATTGGCGTAACCCATAGAGTGTGTTCGGTTTACACAACATATCTATAACATAAGGCACGTCGCACTGCAACAAAGGGCGTTCATACTTGAAGAACTAATGGATGTCACACCGGGGACATAAATGCCGGAGGTTGTCCAAGGCTGAAGCACCTGCTAAGTTGGATGAACTTATCCACCACACTGACTAGTTCATCTGCAAGCATAGGATTCTTGTTCCATGGTTTGAAGGTATGAGGTGCATAAAGAACCGTGTGAAGGAATTAGTTAGGCGAAAATAGTTTCCATTCCTAAAGTGTCTGACCCAAGAACAGCAACATCATCAGCACATTCAGTGTATGCTAGTAAACATTCTGGAACCATTTCGATCCCTCATACGGAAATGGAGAATATTCAAACAACGTGTCCATTATAAAGTTAAAGAACAAGAGCCACTGAGGGCAGTCTTGTCCGGCAACACCGGATGTTGTAAACTGAGAGGAAAGTTTCCCATGTGCCATATCTGTCCGCAGCAGTAGGTCTACAAAATCCTTATAAATGATATGAGCATAAAAGACACCTTATTTATCGATGTGTATTGTCACAGTTTATGACGATCAACGACCATTGCCGCATTTCAAGCACTTATCACAAAGTGAAAATACGACTGATACAGCCTCGATGATGGCAAAATTTCGCTCAATTTTTGCAAACCTAACCCTCTCAGCATTGCTTCAACATGTACAGGACAACTGAAGAAAGCATTTTGGAGATTATGAATGCTTGACGTATGCCCTAGTAGTCTTTACACGTTCTTGTATCGTCGAGGCACTACAGTCTGTTGGTATTCTCTCTTTATTCCAAGTGTATTGAATCACGGTCGCCAGGTCAGTCACAAGGAACTAGCCACCTTATTTAGACAGCTGAAGTTATAAGGCGTGTAGACTAAATACTCGGTTGCATTGAAAGTGTAATTTTACGCCGGGATTCCGTTATCCCGACGTTCTACTTAGATTCTTTCTACTTAAATTCCTTCTTGGGATTAAACTGACTGGAGCCAACTAGGCTGTTTTTCAGCCCATGGCCAAGACTTTTCTGTGAAAGAGAAGAGGTTACATTATTTTCCGGAATCAATCGACCAACACCCGACCTCTTCCAATCATTCGACCCGATCAGTTGGAATAGGGTACGGAGGCTTCCTGTACCTTCTTCATCTCTGGGATCGCTATCCTCTAGCGATCACTTTCAATCCTACGGTGCTCACTGATCTTCATTTAAGGGATCCGCATGCGCCAACTGGCCTGGTTTTCCTGGCATCAATGGGAACTTTCAAATGCGGCGATATGTAGTGTCCGACGGGGTTGGCAGGGAACCCTGGCCTCGAATTTCGTTATAGCCTACTAGCCGCACATATTCTTTACTGTACCTGGTGCTAACCTGCTTTCGTGTGACTTGAGTGTCCACCATCCTATGAGTCCTTGGGTGATTACTTCACTCTTCAGACATTCCCTGAGCACAGTCCACTTTTCCTCCATAAGTAGCTGGCATATGCTGCGTCGTTCCGAAGATACCTCTGTTCTGTCAGCCTACTCTTATGGGAAAGTATGCATCTATCTAAGAGATGCAAATCTCATCAGCCCTCATCGTATGGAGCATAAATTTTGCTGTTTGCAAGCTCTCTGAATTTCTACTCTCAACAGAAGCATTTCACTTAACATCTGAAAGGCACTTACAGTTCAGTTGCTTAAAAGTCCACCAGTAACAATTTTTTTAAATATCACACATATTTGAAGTATCCTTTAGCATTTTTCATCATATTACACTACTCACAAAGCCAAGTGAAACGCAGGAAATTCCAACATAGCTTTTGACCTTCTTGCAGCTCATCAGTAATGCCTATTTTCCTGATCTCCGCTACTTCCTGAGCACCAAATGTGCGTATGTAGCGATAAACAAGCATTTGTGAAATGAGTTCGTGCAAACGAGTTCAAGGTAGATTAAACTGTCCATGTTATTCTGAACACGAGGCGGCCTTTGCATCATACATTCAGCGGGAGATCAGAAGCGAGGGATTCAGGTGAATTTCAGCTAAATCTCCATTCGATATCAACCTAACTTTCGAGCACACTACGCACCATATTTTTAATATAGTATTTGGAGTTAGTGAAGCTAAAAAGCTACTTTAACCCGTTCCGTTCCTCTGTGTGTGTTGGTTCGGGTTCCAACAGCTCGTCATGAGACTAGCTGTTTATTCTAAGCACTTTGTGCAGAACAGTGACGATTCCTAGGACAAGTGACCACCGTAAGCAGAGTGATGTATTCTGGTTGATGACCTCTATAATTGTCAATCTTTTCTTTCAGCACAAGCAGTCTCCAACGAGTTGCGTCAACTGAAGTTGAGTTTTCTCAGTCTAGCACAGTGTAACAAAACGGAGGCCTACAAAGGAAAGCTGACCTCGTCTATGCTCTGCGCGGGATATATGAGTGGGGGCAAGGATTCATGCAAGGGAGACAGTGGTGGACCTTTAATGTGTCAAGAAGAAAAAAGTGGACGATGGTTCCAACTTGGAATCGTATCTTTTGGAAAGCAATGTGCTGGTAAGTTTGCTACAATGTACAACATGACCTGGTGGTATATTTTCCGCGGTCCTCAGTCCATTCGTCCCTCGATTACCAGTTGATAGAATATGTGCCTATTATTCAAATGAAACTGACTGAGCTTCCCCCCACTCTTTCTCAAAGAAAGATGCTTGTCTCGTGTCACTTATTGTTAGTCGGCACTTCCTATTGACGAATGCACTTTTTGCTAGGCAGCTGTCATACTTTGCAACTCATAATAGATTTTCACATAGAAACACCTGTGTTCGGATCTGTACGTACTTCCGCCGGTACAAAAAGAGATGGAGTCATTTGTATTCTAGATTCTAAGCCAGTGGTAGACCATGAAGATAATGTCTTTTTTTGCAGAATGATCAGGGTTTCTAGGAACACTGTATATCGGAATCGCCAAAAACCAACCCTTTAGGGTTGGTTCAGTCGTAAGGGTAGGCGGGGCTTCGTTACACGCGGTTTTTTCAGTGATTTTGAAAATTACAGTCCATTTAATACACCCTGTGGCACAGCAGCGGGGAACATCTCAATGACTAGCTTATGTAGGATAACAACGCCGACAAAGCACTTTGTTTCTAAGAGTTCTCAATCCAGTTACTCAGCTCACCTGCTCAGGTCATCGTTTCCTCTCACACTATCACTTCTGTTTTCTCTGCGAAATGCATGTCACCGTAAGTTACTGGATCATGCAGTTATGATAATCTTGTTTACAATGAGCGAGATTCCCACGAAGCCTTCACAATAATGATCCAGTGCCTCACCGGAGGGAATAATGGGCGTAGCATTATGGAAGGAAGTTGCATACAGCTAGTCAATAGCTCCTCTGGGCCAAACGTAATGTTACCTCTATGATGTGAAATCGGCTTTGAACAGAACATTATTCCGTCGGATTCAAATCGCTCCCAAAGAAAATAAATGCAGGATATGAATTGTACGTTTAATGACGATCAACCCGGATGTATCTAACAGCCTTGCTACTTTGAAAAATGTAGATATTGACGTGTCAGAGTTATTCAAAAAAATTTACATTGTTGGTAGTCGAAGTTCTAGACCTGGCATTTGGTTTTGACCTCATGAAGATTTACTGTGATGTGGTAAACAAAGATGCCTCTGGAATGCTTGCATCTAAGGGGAAGTTAATCATACGAAGTCCAGTATAAAAGATAAATGGCATGACGCCGGCCCGTCTGAAGTAAAAGCAAATAATTTCAAGCAACCTAGCATCAGATAGGATGATGTTAATTTTGCAGTGGATTCGGTTCAAAGAAGTGAACATAAAAAACTCTTTTGGACAATGTATCGTATGCAGTCATTTGTCGTCAAACTTCTGGACAAAACTGTCTTACTCAACACACCCCCATATTTTCCCTTTTTGTTGATCTTTTGGCCTTCGTCAACTGGCGGTTCTCGAAGTTGTCTTTTGTTGGCCATGGTTTAACGTGAGAGGACCACATGAATGAGAAACTTGATTTCGTACAGAAGGGTTTTCTGTTCGTATGATCATAGTGGTCAGTGTTGCTTTCGTGTGGAATATTCGGTATCTCCTCTGGGTATTCACTTGATTCGGCAAAATCACCCCAGAGTCTCGGACACTTCATTTTACTTTTCGGTATCTGCAAAACAACTGCCACAGTTAGCAGGGATATTATACGCTACGTGATTGGTATCCCTTCCGCCGGTAAATACACTTATTCTGGTTTCAGCCCTGATTCACCAAAGGTGTCTTACGCATTACTGATCTACAGATTCATCGATATTGTGCCGGCTATAGTAGTTGTAATTGTTAGGGACAACAGAATCCCCAAGTTTGGAACCCCACAGTCTTGATATTACCAGAGATCAGTCTATTCTGAGATATCACCGGAGACTACTGACCAAATAGCTTATTAGTGCATTTAAGAGTTATCTACAGGGCATCAAGTAACTCAATGTGATACACCTTTGAGCACACTGATGCCTGCTTTAATTTATGCGCATTTAAACCTTAACGATGTGCAGAACTGTACGGTGGTGGCGAAAAAGGTTTTCCAGCCACAGCGAGCAGCATATGAAATTAAGAGATTGAAAGTTAAACTTTGTCAGATATATGAAGAAAATGTCTCGCAAAAATATCGTCATTTCACGCTGGTTCTGAATTGGCTGGGTCCTACATAAAGTTAGGTTAATGAAGCAACCAAATTGTCTGCTGCATCGAATCCACTCTAGCGTATAAGTTTATGATTGCACAGAGCCCAAAATACGAAACTTGGTGACCCCGACCTCATTTTGCGTGATTCGATTGCTTCTTGTTGAATAACACTACCGACCACGCTACATTCCGTTAGCGGAGGAACGAATCAAAAAACCTATCGAATTCGCTGATCACTCGCCTTCTCTTTTGGAACCCTCAAGTTTTTCCCAGTGGGCGCTTTTGAAACCGTTCTGTCCAACTTTTTACTTTATATTTCAGCTCCTGGAACACCTGGACTCTACAGCCGCGTGTCTGTATTTCTCGACTGGATTAAATCCCTCGCAGAATTGGAAAAACCCTAAATAATGCAGATCGCTCGTTTCATTTTAATTTTTAATGATTATCTTGTTTCCTGATAAATTATTTCAAGCTAAAAAGTAGTTGTAAAAACTGAAGAAGGGTGGGAATCAAGCTAACAACAGTGGCACTGCAAACTTCCTGGACTGAACATCAGGGGGGACAACAGGAAAACTGGCATCTGCGGGAAAATTTTGGGGATTCTACTTCATAAGTCTGGGAAAGTCGGCTGCGCAAGTGCAGTGCCGAAAGTTTTATGGTTGGGATATCCATTTAGTTCGCTAATGGCTGTAGTCAAAATAACAAGAGTTGTGGGTCTCGATTACTCTGTGCAGTGGGACCATTTTTCCTTGATCCTCTTCTTTTGCCTTCAAATAGTGACACTTGAATTTCCAATCTGCATCACTCAAGCCAGCTATTCACTGAATTTACAGTCGCTTCCGACCAGTGTGCACACTGTCTCCTCAAACCAATCCTACGTGTTGAAATTGTGTGAACCCCCATTGAAGCCAGTCCAACCTCGGCACAAAACTCATCTTATTTCAAGACACATGACATTATTTGCAGTTACGTACCAAAATATGTGGAGATTTTGTTGTGAAGTGACATCATTAAGCTATGATTCCTATTTTCGTGCAGTAATCCAGTATTGTCTGTAATCATGAGCCGAGGCGCGTAACAATAATATATACTTTTCGATACTTGCTCTCCCTAGAACCACGGCACAAGAAGACGACTGAGTCCTGATATATGAATCGGATTATCACTATTACTATTATTGACGTTATATTCATGGAGCCCGAAAAATGAAATGCCAAACTGTTTGCAACACTGAGATTTCGCCCACTGTAAATCTTCATCCGTACGACGCCAACAGCAAATGTAACCATGCAAACCAAGTGGCTATTACTCTCCATCACTATTGGACATTACTTCATTCCAATCACGATTCCATAAAATAAGATATTGCACTCATTTAATTTGGTTCCACCTGAATTCTGATCAGCTAAAACGTTTCCTCATGCTCGCGTGTTACGAACGCGAGCGGACTTCAGAGTCCTTAGTATAAACCTACCTAATCCTGAGCCACAAATCTAAGAGTATTTTGGAGGTACGTTTTGTTCAGTTAGGTATACGATAATTTTGCTAAGTACTGGCATGCAGTGTTTGCAGCACGAGCGATCGATCGGGGAAAATATTCCTACCAGAATTTTCTATCAGTCAAGTTTCGTCGTTTAGCTTGACATCGTTGCACGTATCCACCAGCGATGTTATTTCGCATACTATCGTTCTTTTTCGTCATGTTAAGTACTGATTACTCCTACTCGGAACATAGCTCACTATTTAGGGATAATCATGAGGAAAAACACTTCGATCGCGTGCTCAGAGCACATCTGACTCAACCGGGGGACATCACGCCTATTGCCGTTAGCTGTATTCTATACGGTTGTCTTGGCCGCCACGACTGTAGACACTGTGGAAGCATTATACAAACCCCAGCAGTTAGTCACATTGGAACAAGCTGGACAACAGGGTGCCATTGCTTGTAGGCTGGACTGGCTTTCTACTGATCTATGGTGCTGCCATTATGAAAAGATAATTCAAGACACAAATATGGTTATTGAAGTGATTCCCCTCACCGGTTTTCCTCGCTTGCGGTTGCGCACCTCTGGTCATCCAGTAGCCGAGGCGACTGGCATAGTTTTTAGCCAGCAGGATAGGAGAATTCTGCTTGGATGGTTGCTCGTTGGAAGTCGTTTATGTGCTACTGGTCTAAGTATGTGAGAGTTCTCCGTAAACGGCCAGTTATCACTGTCTGTTTATTCTATTTGTTTACGCTCGAGCAGACTGTTGTTCCAATACACTCAATGACAGTTCATACGAAGCTAAATTATGCTGAACTAAACGTCAAGATACTGATGTGGTTGAGAGAGTTATGGATGGGTAGGATTGGGCAGAATTACAGCTGCTGAGGCTCAATGGAGGTGCAATCGAGGTGCAAATACAATGGGAAACACCTGCTACAGTTATGTGCGGGTCACATAATATTTCAGTGCAGTACAAACTTCCGAAACGACCGAAGCCGGTCGACCACATGATGTCTTCCTAATATGAGCCAACTCCCGACGAAGACGGACCACATCGCTATTGGTAATATGTGGCAAGACAAAATAAAGACTGTTGCTCGTTCTGGAACACCTATGCGGTTCAGATCACGCGCCTGCCCGTTGCGGATCCCGAAACACTTTTAGGGGGGGGGCACGCATGATTCGCGCACCTCACCTGGCCTTTGATAAAAAATCCCGAGACCTGATGCGAAGCGGACCTACAAAAGACCAACTACTGAAGCAAATTACGGACAAAACGTCTTCTGATGTTAACTCTTACTGGAAGGTGGGGTGTGCAACCCTACAAGAAGCGGAGCACATCGCTTGGGCAGCAACACAACTAACCGCATCTAGGCACTGGATCTGGAGAAACTCTAACGTTGCTGAGAGCTCGAGCACTTATTCTTCCTAGTCAAGAGTAGAGTACGACGAACCGTCAGACGTCAGTTCAAGAGGAGGATCTGCGCAGATCGAACTACTTAATGGGGCAAAAAGTTGAAGATATGGAGGAACCAATAGAACTTGGGAATGTTCGAAAAATATCCCATTGATAAGCGCATCAGGACAAAACGGTCTCCGGTGTGTGAAGCAATTAATAATAAAAACGGCTGGCTCATCCCTAAAAGAGAGGAATATCTGGATCATCGGACTGAACATTTCCAGCAACAAATCAACTGGCTACCTCTAACTGTACAACCGGATTCTCAAACCTCCCTGGACAATGACCTTTGAACCTCAGATGATTCTAGAAATACGCGAAAGACATTTTTCCCTCAAAGCTGCTGTCTCTGACGCACTCGCCTCCACTCTGTTTAAGTGGAGTGAAATCCTTAGCAGGTGCTTGTCGAAATTATCTGCCTCTATCTGGGTGAAACAGACCGTCCCAATCAACTGGGGCGAGTCGTGCTAATTTTCAAGGTGCTACTATTGCGTGCATCGCCTATTTCACATCAACTCAGGAGAGTGCGTAAGCACGTGAATCAAGAGCAGGAAGCAAGATTCCGTCCGGGAATAGGCTTTGTGGACCTCAGCTTCACACTCTCTCAAGTGCTAAATCAACGACATGCTTAGAGAAACCTTGCATTATTGATATTCCCTCTTTATGGTGGTATTCTGTCTTGTCGACCGATTCGTTTTTCTAAACGCACTTGTGTAATAGAGCATGACGCAGAAGTCACCATCGTATGCTCTTAGTATTCGTATACTTGTGGGCTCCTGACAGTATATAGGGAGTTCTCCAAAAGCTTTTCCACATGGCAGTGGTGTCCAACAATGGTGTTCACTCTCTTCATCTTTGTTTAACTTCTTCATAGACTAGGTGAAGAGGCGAACTCTGGAAGTTCGTTAAAACCCCAATGTTCGGATCTCTCCGAGCAAGATCCTTGACGACACTCATTTTCGAAAACGAGCATAGACAATACTAGGAAAGCTAACCAGAGGTCATCCGGTACTTCGGCGAGTGCTTCCCACTCGCACAGTGCAAAGCCATTCTTCGGGACGTGCAGTTTCTGAAAATGACTCTAAAAATCCAAGGACTGACACTGAAAGTCGTAGAACGCTATCTCGGAACCGGTATTAGCAATGACAGAATTGTGACACAAAGTCAAGTCAACCTCAAAGGCCAGGACTAGTTTTGTCGATCGGCGACACTTGTAGCTTGAAGAACGCATTTTGATGGGTCTCAGAAATTTCGGTATCAGACTGGAGTGCGAGTTGTATTGTTGAAAAGTTGCGAGACTTGACTAGCTCAGTTGCGGGATTTGAGATATCTTACGACCTCTGACCATCTACGCCTCAAAATTATAGCTGGAATCCGCTAGAACCGCTGATCTTACAACGAACTGTTTCAGAAAATAGCCACCGGTAAAGTAGGAGGCAACGCAAGCCAGGTTGGCTGGGATATGTCATGCATACCAAGTTGTGGTCTCTCGGGAATAGCGTTGTACTCCGTGCCCGATTCAGATGGCGGTGAACAGAATATGACAAGGCAAAGGGAAATGAAGGAAAATCAGACAGTGCGACGGTGCGACGTCAGTTTGTCCGCCAGTGGCAGAGTATACACTACGATAGTGCTGCATCATGAAACGGTAGCGTAACCTATACGGGCCTTTGTCGATGACAAACATCTAGCCAGGCACAATCTGATGCGACTCTAGGGCACCCGGAAATTTGCCGAAAGCAATGGAGCAGTAACATCAGCAGGGCCGTTGGATTCTAAGGGAATTTTCCATCCACGGATCCACTGGATTTTCTTCAGTTTTCCGTCGCTGCAGGTTTGGAACCAGGACTTGATCAACTCCTCTAGAAAAACTGACAGTTAAACAGGCTACAGAGCCGTACACACGCCTTCACACCCCTGACGACACTATTACAGAGAGCCAGTGAATAGGATTCTCTCAAAAGAGGCGACAAGGTATCCAAAAACGGTCGTCTTCAACCCTAGTGCAGAACTAGGAAGACCACTTCAACAAATTTTCAACGAGTTATTGCAACCGGTTCAACTCAGAATATCTATAAATCGCATCAACATTTGTAAAAACAGATTTCCGATCCCCACTTTACGCTAACTACCTATTCAATTTTGGAGCTGCAGAATTTCCCCTCTAAGCATCTGTCGTGATGGTGTGACCTAAGTGCTCTCGATAAGGTTACGACTAGGAGCACGAGCCGGCCAATTCAACACCCTCACATTACGGTCCTGTTTGTTCTTGTGATGACTGACGATAACGATCACTGCATTACTTAGATGTATGCATCGGAGAATGAAAATAATTATAGTCGGTCTGTGGTATCCTTTCAGTGCATAGCTGCTGTGCAGCATGAGGGGTGAAATAGTACGGAAACCTAGACAAGAGCCATGGAAAAGCTGAGACTGGGTTCGAACTAGCGACCCTCCGTTCAGCCGTCTCGCTTTCTTATCAGTGAGCAATCTGGAGCACCGGAATCAGTAAAAGTGCCATACAAGTGATTTATACGGATTTCGAGCAGAAGTGGCCATAAAACAACACTGAAAACCATCATAAGGTTATCGAAAAACTGAGGTAAAGGCCCGGATTTAGAGCCGCGGTTGAGTTACTGAGGTCTAAGTAACATATAATTCAACAGGATGGTAGATGCCGAACGGCGCACACTGGCTGGTAGACTGACAAGTGGTCTCCTAGATGCGCATGTGCGAATTTCGGGTGCATCCATCGGATGTACGAATAGTCAACCACCTGGACTGGTTCAGACTGGAAAATGTGCAAAGGAAATACTTGGAGTTGCGTGCACTCACCGAAGATATCCTGAGTTGTCTGAATTTGACATACAGGAAACTTCATTTCTAAGCTCGAGCCATTTTGGAAATCGTGTCAGGGAATTCTTTTCCATTGCAAAATCCTTTGAAAAGTAGTGAGAAGGGCGAAACCGGTCGTGGGCTGTCGAAGAGTTTTCAGCAACCTTGTGAGTAGTTTCCTTTATGAAAATATACTGCGATATCTAGAATATCGTGCCAACTGAATCATGAGGCGGCCTGTGTGCAGCATATTCAGCTGGAGAACATTATAAACGAGAGATCCAATTGAGTCTCCCGTGAAAACCAAATTGATTTGCAGATGAGTGTATTTCTCGAAAAGTAGTGAGACGTGTTTTTACGATTCTAAGTCATGTTGAGAGAAGCTACAGAACTCCTGATTCACCCCCAGTAGATGTTTCGGTTTAACTTTTGTGACTTGTCTGCCTCAGGTTGAGTGCGTGTTTTTATGATTGCACAAAAACTAGTTTTACACATGTACCGCAAGTTTCACCTCAATCATTTGGACGGATTGTGTGTTACGTGAGGCAGTTTCATCATTACATCATGTAATTCCTAGCTTGGTCCTGGGTGGGGCAGACTAGGAAAGCAACTAAAAGAGGGTAGGGCTGATCGGCTGTGGAGCCAACGACCGAATGCATCCTATTCCCGCAAAACCAGCACTGTCTCAGGTTCGATCAGCAGGGGCGAGCGGACCGAAAGACCTGTACGGCGGCTCACTTACTCACTTATGTGGCTTACTATGGTGATTCACCGAATATGGGTGACCCCGCTCAGTTTTCGTCTAATTCGTTTTGCTTGTGTTAAAACCCGGTCTCGAAAACCACTTGCATGCAGAGCGCGAACAGATGGTACTTCATTGCACAGAGGAGAAATGGTAGATAAGACAAGTAATCGAACTGCTACACTATTGAGTCTAGAATAATGAACATACAAACGTCGATGTCATATGGACCTCGGAATTCCTGGATCTTCAAAGTCATGTTAGATATGAAACGGTTCGACGTCAACGTGGCGAATGGCATGTACTACTGGATAGGGACCTCAATCTTGCGAACCTAGCCTGAGATAAACTTTGCCGGACAGTGCCAGTGTGGGGCATCTGTGGTATCAAATCATTTCAGTGGAGGAGCATTGTTGTAAAGTTGAATGAAAAAGTAGTTCCACGGTCCGGTAGCGTTAATCACTTCCTATTCCTGGATGTTTTTACTTGATCTGACATTCTGGCTTTTGTCCGCTCACTAAAAACAGTCCGACATCAGGCGAGTGATGCGCTTATAGCTAAAACCATGAATGGTTTCATAATTCTCACCGGGCATGTCACAAGTCTATTGCGTGTCTGGAGCATTCACTTGGGTCGAAATGTTCAGAACACGACAACAAGTGCAGAAGATATAGAAGATAGCTCATTCCAAGAGATACCTACCCCTTCCCCCGGTGTTCCTCGCTGAGGATATCAACGAGAACTAAAAGGTAGTTGGTTCGATGAAGTTACAGGCATAGAAGAATAAGGTCGTGCGTACGCCGTGTTATTCCGTCAACAAAAGCCCAATGACGAGGAGAGTTTGTGCATGTGAGCAAAAAGTACAGCTCAATGCAGTCGGTGGGTGAATATGAAAAAGGAAGCATAAAACTATCTCACTCAGCACAAAATCGAAAGCAAACCAAACACAAAAATCTAGTCTTCTTAATATCAAACGGATTTTTCGAGGAACACCAGTAAACTTATACCAAAGGATGGTAGTCCGGGTCAAAATGTCAATTGTCTTCTTTACATATGTACACGGCGGCGGTCTCAGATGCCTCGGTAAACATATCTGACATCGTGGTTGGGGAAGCCGTTTGATAAACAGGGACGGGAATGAAATTTGTCGGAGCCGAGCTGAGTTCACTTGCAAGCAAAGGGTAGATGTTTGTGAGATCCAATCTACTGGAGAGGATAACCTTGTGTGTGAGCACCGGAAATGACGCAAAAATTAAGAGAGAAAACAACAAAAAGTGAAAAAGAAGACAGTATTATCTCATCGGTTTCGCTGGTTGTCTGTGACATAGTACATTTTTACATCGGTCAGAAGGAATGTCACTTTCTTTCTCATACGGCAAATACAGACAACGGACGATCACAGCCACTCACGATGGCAGTAAATTTGCGCACACTGTACATGAACCGGTCCAAAAGAGGAGCGAAATCTCAAGATTTCCGTGAGTCCGCTGTTGGTTTGGGTGGAGGGCTTGAATTACTGGATTGTATCGAAGGTTGAGATGGTAAGACAGATACGGGCAATCGCGTGTCAAGGATCAGATTACCTTGTGCGTCCTTCACACGCAAGCGTCCTGAAGAGTACCGTGTCTCGTGACGACCATCAGGGAACACGGTTTTAGTTGTACCGTCTGGATAGATACGACACTAACGAAGAAGGAAATAAAGATGTGTTAATATACCCCGCGGACACAGAAAACCACCTAAATAAATATGAACTGAGGACCTTAAACCAGACGCAATGCATGGATTACATCTTGCCCAAATACAAGTGCCTAGCTGCCATGCCAACAGGAGATACAAGGGCTGGGATACTGCCAGATTGCTCGAGTCTAGACACGAGAAGTCGAGATACTGAGGTTGGGTTCGAACGACGGACCATCCGACCCATAAGGTAGCGCCTTAACCACTGAGCTATTTCGAGCTCAGATCAACACCTATCCTGTCTCATTCAGACAGGCATGAATCTCACGAACTGATGGGCTCGGCACTGGTTACAATTCAGAGCCAGAGAGCCGTAATAAGTTACACTGAATGACAACACTGTCTTGTTCGGAAGTCATGGTCATAACTTAAGTTAACACACGAATTAAAGACAAGCTGTGCATTCTCTGAAAGATGCAGCAACTTAGCACTGAATACGCTCTCAACCAGCCCATATTGAATCAACGTGGCCCCTCATTCCACTACATTGTAAAGCTCGACACTGGTCTTCAAGGTAACGATCTGAATACAGTTTAATGATTCAAAGAACCTTTGGAGGAATTCCGCCTAGTAAGTGTCAATTTTCATTGCCAATGGAAGTCAAATTACTCTACTCATTTTTACACCAAACTTATTTGTTTGTTTTTTACATCCTTATTCCCGAAACATTACGAAATATCAGGACAATGACCGGTAGCCAGTACGGAAAGGCTCATGTGGGGTTCGGATCCGAGTTGTCGAAATGGCAGTCCACAATGTTATTCACTTCACCACTCGGTTTACTTCCAACAGTTATGTCGTCATGTATTGTAACCCACTAGCTGCGAGGAGAAGAGGTGTTTTTCTAAACTCCGCACACACAAGGTTGGGACTGAAATGGGAACATGCAAAACAACACCTACACACGCAGGAAAAGACTCGAAATGCATCTCTCACAGTTACGTCACAGTTCGATATACAAGAAGTTCATTTAGGCTGAAGTACACAGCTAATCGTCCCCGAGGGCTTACTTTGATCCCCGTAACCGAGTGTACCTCGCGTTGGCCGTTGGGTAGTGAAATCTCTCGATCCCCATTGGGCAGACGTCGGGAGGTTAGTTCACTACCTGATAGTTTTACCGCATTCTCGCCCTGTGACTTCTGTGTGGACTTCGGATGAATAATCTCCTGTCGACCACTGAAAAAAATTAGGTAAATCATTGACTACATCACTTGGGTGAAACCCTGATTCAGTAACTAAAAATTGGTGATTCAGTTGGTGTTATGTTGATAAAATAACGTTTTGTGGTATGTGCAGATAGATACCATATCTACCTATCAACTGAAGCAAACCGAGTCAGCGTACTAGGGAGTAGGAAGCTGAATAGACGAAGGATGAATCGGTCTGCATCGTCCTGCTTAAACTGACAACTTTCACAATACCCCCAGCTGTGAAATCCAAAACCTATTCCACGGCACATCAGCCGCGGGTTGCATATTTCGCTCACGTCGGTCGAACCACACATGCAACCGATATCATGCCTAGGAACTACCCCAACCCCAGAGGGTTTAAGACAAATAGCACGATGAATGACTGCTGAACGAGAAATATACACAATCAAAACTTACTCGGCATAATTTATCTCCTCTGCTCCGTCTGGATATGTTATTTGGACGGTCCCATCCCCAGCATAATGGTAAATCTAGGAGATGAAAATAAAAACGTTCTATCAAGACCCACAAAGGAAATTGGACTGGGATCAAAGCACTGATGAATTTGACATGTTTATGCGAGGTTTCACCATAAACATTGAACCCATTTCAATGGCTCCGATTAACAGTGGCCGCGAAACAGCAGCTGAAAACAGTAAACAACAGGCAACGAATAGGTGGGACTTCAAATCAGTTAGAATGAGAAAAGAAAATAAACTTCTCGACACCGACTACAACCAGCTTCCACTTGACATACTGATATGCAAACAAGAACCGTGGCATGTGAGCTGTAGAAATAAGGGAACAAGCCTCGTGATCGATCGATCGATTGTTGACGATGAACTGCCAAACTGATGCGATGATGCGGCCTGTGTACGGTAACTGTTTCGAGGATAATAGTAAACTGAACTGTCGTCAGGACGGTTAACTCCTAGATGGGTTAAGCCAGATACTTCATATGGCATATGATCGTGTGCCTCGCTGCGCTCTTTCCTCTTAGACTTGTGAACAAACTCCTAGATTAAGCCAGATACTTCATATGGCATATGATCGTGTGCCTCGCTGCGCTCTTTCCTCTTAGACTTGTGAACAACATAAATCACTCATAATGAGTTGATCTGTGACTTAGCGGTAGTCGACTATCGGGGAAGTGTGACCGATCACAGATTAGCGGCACTGACAAAGATGCCTCTGTAGAAAACCTCTCGCCTCAAACACGCAACTCTCACAACTTCAAATCTATTAATCATTTGGAGCGAAAGCAAACCCCTCAAAAAGACGGTCAAAAGGAGTGACCATTTCAGTTCTTTTGCGAGTAAGATCTCTTTGACGTAGCATCATGTGGGCTTTAGGGGGAGATAGCAGTATTTTACAATGCTTTAGGAGAGACGATAACAAAGATGATCGCAAATGTAAGGCGATGAAGAATGCCATTTTAGTAGTGATTTGGTAGTAGAGAAGCGAAAAGTTTGGGCTCGTCCCAGAGGGGAGAGCCACACTAAGTTCTACATCACCTTACTTCGGGAACTTCAACGGTCTCAGAAGATTTCTAAACAAGCGAGTCTATCAGAAATGATAGTTGAACTTCCATTCGACACAGGGGTCCAGGAAATGGGGAAAAGATTGCCAAAACAGTTCACCTGTTGTGTGAGGGAAGACTAAATCAGCTGAAAACGGCAGACGCATTCCTCTACACGGTCTTCACCAGAACACATCTGGAGCACTGTGCACAAACACACAACAAATACCTCGTTGCTTCAAACAGCCGAGAAACTTGGGGGATGATACATGGCCTTTGAGACTCAGTTTGCGAATGCTAGAATCTCGTAGAGGTCTTCAAGTTTTTGTCCGTTTAAATATACGTCCCTGCACCTAAGCGATCTGAGACAACTCAGGCAAACCGGACAAGCGCTAAATATTTCATGGTAATAATCATTAGTTATGAACTGAACTGTCCAATGAATATTTTGCTGTCAGTGTTGGGGTTCAGACAATATCCTGATGGGGTGTAGACAACTGTTTCGGTGACCTGTCCTGAGGATTGGTAGAGCAGTGCGTCAGCCCCAGCTGAATAGATCCATCGTCTTGACACTCAATCATAAGGTCCCGCCTTCTGTTTCTATTCAAGGCTTTGGTAGACACTTACGTTGTCTGGTTCCGCAGCGTTTATTCTTGTCAGCGCATATATACTACAGTGCATATATGCATATATGCTATGCGTATATGCTACGACAGTGCCTCCGCGACTCCTGACTTTTGGTCAGTGAGGATATCCAGAATATCGTGCCAAATGAAACACGAGGCGCCCTTTGTGCAGTAGATTCAGTTGAAGAATATCGGAAATGAGAGGTTCGGGTGAAATCCAGTTGGATATTCCGTTAAGACCAGATGAGTGTCTTGCACCGGATCCGCACAATCTGATGTTCAGAAGTTTTTGTCCCAACAGTCCGAGCTAATTAAGAGGTTATCGGTTATCGACGTGACACACTACTCATTAGGCTGCTGGAAACCCTTCAACAACCCACGACTGGTTCCGCCCTTCTTGGGGCTCATTTAGTAGGCGCAGTCCCCGAGTCTCCGTCGATCTTATGTTCTGTTTGAACCGAAATTGCACAAAATTCGACAGACACTCATTTGCATACCAATTTGGTTTTCACAGAGACTCACCTGAATCCCAGCTGAATCTCTTGTTTATGATGTTACCGTGAAAACCAAATTGGTATGCAGATGAGTGTACTTGTCACATATCGGTTATCGCTCATTAGATGTGAGTACCTGAAGAGCTTGTTAGACTTCCTTAGGATGACACGATACTTACAAAACCGATGGAATACAACCTAAAAACTCGAGGACAGCTAAAGGACAAAGATTTATGGCAGCCATCCTTTTTATTGTTCATTATACGTCAGGCAATGGTGGCACCAATGTCAGGTAAACCAACTTCACTAGGAGTTACATCCTGATAAAGGCATTACTGCTGAACACTGATGTCGTGCTGTCGATGATGATGATGATGATGATGATGATGATGATGATGATAATGATGATGATGATTGATACAGGCGGAGCAGTTATGAGACGTCTTACTTAGCTTCTACTCTTGACCGGAACACCGTACCGGTACCGACATTTATGCGCCCAGTGTAAATCAACTGGCGTTTCCCGTTGGCTCAAGAAGAGCTAGTTCCCTCTTTTAGTTATTTGTCAAATTGCTAAACAGCTATACTTCTGACATCCGACCTATTAGTTCTAAGGAACCAAGGAGAAAAACCCTCAGCTATCAAATTCCATTACAAGTTATGGTCCACGGTGGCTGCTACATATATTGTGACTAAGAAGCGTTGCGGTACGAATACATGATTGATGATAACGAAATAAAATTACCTAAAGAGCAACCAACTTACCACACGCCCATCTGGCAAAGTTCGTTTGATATCTCCATTGAACAGAGATACTAAGACAGTCTTCCGATCAGGGAACACTTCCTTCACGGATCCATTGGCATACGATATCACAGTAGCACCATTGGCATAGGTTTCCTCGCTCTGACATAGTGAAATGGCACACAGAGCATACGTAAGTTGATAGTACAGATATCACAATGAGTGAAGGCAACCAAAGTTTGGCCAATAACCTGCAGACCCGAAGAGTTTTTGCATTGGTATCGAGCATGTCACATCGATTTTGCGTCTAGCTGCGGTCGTTGACGTGTTCGGTGAGCCAGTTAACTAGGATGCAGGCGTTTAATCACTAATCGAGTCATTGTGGAACGACAGCAGGCCAGTGCCCGCATATCATGTATTGTCTTCCATGCAAATATCGAAACTGCTTTATTTTATCTCGACGTCCAGCACGTCAATATATCTGTTACTGCTCACTTTTATACTGGATAGTCAGCGTACAAAAGATGCGGAGTGAATAAGAAAACAAATGATGCTGCTATTGTCATAGTCAACCGACCTATAGGCTGAGAGCGTTTGACGACCATTGCAAGGAGGCTTCTCATATGATGCTAGGGAAATTCCTCTTTCAACTTATTTTACCCAGGTATGTGCGTGTACCGATGCATACGTAGAGTCCCACGATTCTGTGAAATATGTTGGAAGGCAAGCGAATGGATATTAGTGAGCTAATAGTATGTCTATACGTCCACGCCCAGTTTGAAAGAACCGCTGGTCAGGTCTCTTCCTACTCAACCAGCGACCGTGTTGCGGGCATCCGACCTGAATGACACCTGGTCTTTTCCGGTCGTAGAAGACTGGGATGAGAAGGAAATACACCATGCGATTCCTAATGTAACAGAACAATTTTCAATATAATCAGTTGTACTGTGTAAAACTCACACGACTTCTAGCGGGGATAGTGACTTCAGACACTAAGTATAACGAAATAAGGAGATGGAAAGACTTCATGACCAAAACATGTGCGACATTAAAAAAAACCACTCTCCTTGGTTAGAACTTAACGTAAACCTAGCCAAGATCAGAAGCTCGCTTTTAAAAAGTTCCCTTGGAGAAGTTGTTCGGAAGTTCAAACCAAAGAGAACGAGTAATCCGGTGCGAAGCAGAGAAACGGGTTAATTTCCGAACGCGAAATCAAACCAGATTACGGCGTCCACAGTGGTCAAAGAAGTCGCTGTTGAATCAACGACAACCAAAACCCATTCAATCGACTGGTAAAAAGTCCCTATCTTCTTCAATACATCGACCAATTTGGAAAACAGAGATGACCAACATGATCCAAACGGTATTTGTCGGGGATAGTTCAGACACTAAGTATAACGAAATAAGATGGAAAGACTTCATGACCAAAACATGTGCGACATTAAAAAAAACCACTCTCCTTGGTTAGAACTTAACGTAAACCTAGCCAAGATCAGAAGCTCGCTTTTAAAAAGTTCCCTTGGAGAAGTTGTTCGGAAGTTCAAACCAAAGAGAACGAGTAATCCGGTGCGAAGCAGAGAAACGGGTTAATTTCCGAACGCGAAATCAAACCAGATTACGGCGTCCACAGTGGTCAAAGAAGTCGCTGTTGAATCAACGACAACCAAAACCCATTCAATCGACTGGTAAAAAGTCCCTATCTTCTTCAATACATCGACCAATTTGGAAAACAGAGATGACCAACATGATCCAAACGGTGTTTGTGTCTAACATGAAGGATGTTTGCGTCTACTGAGACGAGGAAGAAGGCAGTTTCAACATATCAAATATCCCTGTCATTTTGTTGTGCACAACCTGCAACCGAAACCCCCTCCCAACGGTTCACTCACTGGGTCCAGACAAAACTGTTCGCTTTTCTGGTGTATTCACTTTCGACAGGGAGCCGGGTTTCTTCTGTTTCTTTCCACAGTTCAACATACCTCCCTATGAGAACACCGTTTTCCTTCGTGTACTTACTTTTGAACTCCAACCATGAGTGACTTATTGTTTCCAAATCTACCTGGTAACGGTGATGGATCACAATCCCTCTATCCCTTGGAAGATACATCCCATCACGGAACACCAACAAGAGAGCATGCTTTCATGATTAAGCCGGTTCTGTTACACTGAACTGAGATGATCAACATGGTTAGAGATTTTCAGTAAATACAACTCAAATATCGAAGATCTGTACGGCCACACCGACAGAAATCCAAATTCAGTTAAGCAACCGTTTTCCAATCGACCGATAGGTTATATCAACAGTGTTCCGGATACTGTATTAACTGTGTTGTGTCGATACCGAGAATACTACGTATACCGATACTTGTGTTTTCCTGCTTTTTCCACCCAGAATTATGGCGATAATATAGTGCGCTTAGCTTAGGTTCTCAGTCGCATTAATGCGATAAGATCAGAACCGGACGACAACGAAGGTTACGGCTCGATGTCAAGCTGTGTCGAAAAAGCAACTGTTCCGTGGTCCTATATTCATAAACATTACCAAAAAGAACAGCATCAGTGTTAATACCATTGCTTCACCGTCGCACAACCACAGGAGAATAATTAACAGAGGGGTTCTAATGCTGGTCAACCGTAATCGTTCTTCTTCTTATAGTATGGTCATGAAGTATTGATCACGTAGAGGCATAACTGATAATCTAAGAGCTGTCATATGCAAAGTTTGTGGTCAATGCTAGGTATCAACTGGACTGGAAGGATGCCAGAGAGAGAGAGATGGCCACAATGTGGCAGAATGATGACATATTTGCTGAATGTAGGGAAACAGGATCCCGAAGCAGCGCTTGTACGAAGAATATCACAAAATAAAAATAATATAAATCGTTCAACACCTTTTGGTGCCCAGCTGTTACGCCACCAAAAGGAAGCACGACGGGTACTTCCAAGCTGCCCGAGCCTAGACAAGGGAGGTCGAGAAGCAAAGGTTGGGTTCGAACCATGGACCCTCCGGTCAGTAAATTCTAACCACTGAGCCATCTCACTCCAATACTATGAAGTGAGATCCTGGCGGGTAAAAGTGGTGTTACAAGGAGGCCGTGGTCAAAGTTTTGGAAAACTGGAAGTACAAATACAAAGTGATTAGCCTAGGAGTGATACAACCCGGCATCTGACAGCTTCAAGCCAGAAAGAGGAAGTATGCGAGAGACACAGGGTTTTGCGATCTTCTGAATCTAATCATAGAACTAGCTGGATCTGCAGTGACTGTAGTGGTGGTTGTGTGAGTTCTCGTGGACCTACAGACTTTCAATGAACAGATGGCAAACCGTCGGTAAAACATCGGCAAATGAAACCAGTTTAGCGGACCTAGCTTAGCTGTGTGGGAACATCCGACACTTGGTCAAAGGCTTTCAGAGGTTTGCGCTCACAGTAAACCGAACGTGTCGTTACCCACATTACACGGAGGTCCATGATGTGAAGAAATAAATCCGGGAACGGATAACAACCCACTGCATGTGTATTATGCTAGTTGCAGAGTGAACACATGTCGTGCCAATAGGACGAGGCAACGGGATGTAGAACAGCTAGGTTGAGTGTGCTGTGTACGGTTGTTCGAACAAATATCTAGGGCAAAAAGACCCATCCAAGTAGTCTTCTGAAACCTCGCTAAATCACACCGACTGAAGTCTTGAAGGACTGCACTGCTCACTTCGATGAAAGCTAGGTCCGTCGGAGAAGGAAGGCGGGACTATCTAACTTAGTCTGCTTCCTCAAAGTGTTCGCGTTTCAGGGAGTCAAATTTGAGGAACAGCACTGCAGCATTCTTTTATTTCGTCAGACGTAAACTGGAAGACGAACCAAAGAACCTACCGAACCATCTGGATGTTTCACTGAACGAACGACGGCACCAGAAGCAGCAGTACCAGGGACGGGTAACTTTTCGTCAGCAGCACTGCGTTTGGAAGGACCTAACCTGTAAAGCGCATAAAAAGAGACAGGGAAAGATAACCAAGGAAGTTACAAATGTAACATCAAAGCCCAAAAAGTCCCTTTCAGTGGTAGATGGTGAAGATAATGCAAGAATATACTGCAAGACTAACATCTCCAGACTAGATCATGGATCACAAACGAAGTTCAGTGACCTATCAGCACGTCCGCTAGCGTTAATCGTGTAACCCCCCCCCCCAGTGAACATTGTGTGACGAATTAACCGTCTTCCGTTTGCCAGGATGTAAGCACTTCATGTCAAAGAAAAGATCAAGGTCTTCCAACTACTCGGAAATTTGAAGTAAAACCACCAGAGTAGTACTCGCAAGCGTGCCGTTGCACTCTGAAGGAGTCTAGTCCGAAATAGTCCATATTTGACTCCAGACACCGCTTGATACTTGTGATTTCAGGACATGAGAATGCGCCCACCACCAAACCGATTCGTATTTACTCGCGTCTGTGGAAATTCAGTTGGGAAGAATTTTATAAAATATGGGCACACAATTGTCAGCAAGAAATGTATCCAGTCCAGCCTGAACTTAAACCGCAGATGTTCATTTTCCCCTACTTGGCTTAGCTGTCTGAACACAAACAGACTTGCATTTCTACATGGATTTAGGAGAAAACCTCTGGAAGACGACTTCACCCAACCAAAGATACGGTGCTTGCTGTGAGCTTATGTCCTGTCGTGCTGAACAGTAGAGTGTACGAAACAACTTCAGGGCCACTCATCCGTCATAATTTCCAGCAACCTTTCAGTCTAGAACACTCAAGTTTTCAAATTCGCCTCTAGGTGTCTGCTGCCCGTTAGCTTTATGACCAGCTGTGATTTCGGGCATACGAATTAACTTTTGTGCGTGTGAAACGGTATGGTGGTCAGTCCGAACTACGTTTGCGACAGTCCTCATTATCCATCACACAGATAGAGCGTTTAGGATAGAGCGTTTCACAGAATTATAATGAAGTTTTACCTACCCATTCATCCCCTCAGTATAGCAGTGGTGTGCAGGTTTCGGTCACACAGGTCCTGTTAGTTCGAGTGAACTTGTATCAGGATATGGACGTAGGCGGTCCTTGAACTGAATATTTCAGAGAAACGATGACCCTGCTTAACAGGCAGTAGGGCCATGGGCGTTATCACCTAGTGACCGTTAACCGCAGCGATAGATGAGCTGTAAATTTCCGCCTAGTTTAGTCACATGAAGTTTCTCTGCCACACAAACGTAGTCCAAAATCATGAAAAATATCCCGCTGGTACCTCGGCTTCTATAAATTCCCTCTTATTTCTTGCACTATGCCAAGGTCATCTGGACCTATTAGATAGCACTTTTATCATCAGTAAGTACCACTTCCCTCCTATCTGGTTAGTGTTTCTATACTTAGTTGCTCACCTCTCGGTCGCTTCCACTCAAAACAAGCGAAGGGAACTATGCGAGACAGACGACACTCTGGCATACGAAGTACATATCCTAACCAGCGCAACTATTTGAAGTTATCAGTAACTCCTGCTTCGCTTGGTCTGTGAGCAATCGCGAATCGTCCTGGTAACGTACTCAGAGAGGTGGAAAACCGTCAATTAGAATATTCTACCAAGTAAATCATGCTGAAACACATCTGCCGCTTATTCCTTGTATTTACACGCAACTTTTCTGCTCACTAACAGCGGACAGAATTCACTTTCTATCGACCATATGGAATTATTATGCTGCGCGTATCGAAAGCATAACTCAACAATGAGTTTTAACAACGATTGAGAACACTGCGACTATGACATTGGATTAACATTTGTTTGATATCAACATCACGCACGTTTGAGACAGCTAAGCGATAGATGTCAAGTGGATCAAGAGCGTTTCACAAACTGTCAGCATTCAGCAGATGTTCAGGGTGTTACTCTGAAATGTGTTGAAAATTTCGAAAGTTCCATATCAAATGGGAAAAGAAAAAAGTACGGCATTAAGTTGACACGATACTAAGAGCACGGGCGTTTGAATCCTCCTTGCGTTAAGTGATTCTTTTCCAAGTTCTTTGTCAGATATACCACCTGCGTGCTACCGGAAATGGGGCCGCATACGGGGGTTTTTTGATGCAAAATGAACCAATAATCCCTTGGAAAGTCAACAGCAGCTATTCCCACCGGTCTTGATCTAATGTACGAAACCGAGAACAGAAACCATCCCCGGGAAAGACCAAATAATCCTATACTTTGTGTCGACTTCTGTTGAAGAGATAGTGCATGTACAAAGTAAATGTAAAAACTAACTCGAAAATGTTATGATTCATGTCTAACTTTATTCAGAATGAATAGGATGCAATGCAACCGGTATAAATCAGCTGTATTGTCTCATGTACGGCGCAAGCAGTAGTGTACCAAAATCAAGTAAGGAATCATAAGTACATGACCTGAAGGGATTACTCTTTTCATACTTTTGCTAACTGGCTAGGTCCACATCTGCAACCGAACTAGTGATGACTCGCGAGTCTGTCGTGTAGAAACTAAAACAGCAGTCAAAAACTCACGCTGACCGGTCCAACTGCGGTTGCACGGGTACGGTGGCAGGAGAGATTTGATCAAGATCAATGCCGCTCTTATTATCGTGACGTTCGGTATCCGCATTTCCTCCACTTGTCAAAGAGAGACAATCGTCCTCGCCAGTGTAGTATCCACCGCTGTGGACACTTTCTCGAGTGCCATCGGTCGACGTTGCACGTCGGGTAATTAATGATGACGGTCTACCAGAACTACTAACACTATCTCGAGCTGAAAGCGGTCGATCCACGCCGGAGCCAATAGTCGAGGATCGGTGTTTCGTTCCTACACCCACCAGTGTATCGAGACCAGCAGAATGCGACCCAGATCGCGATGTCCAGCGATAACCGCCCAGAGGTTGATTCCCTCGTTTTGATCGGCCAGCCTTGTTCACCGCGGGAAGAGAAGAAGTCTCAGTTGAAGTGGTCCTACTCCCTTTGAGGATTATGGACTGAGTCACCGCATTCAAACTCTGTTAGTGGGAAATACAGAATGGGAACCAACTGACGAACACAGCTGAGCATGAGCAAAGGAAGAATCGAAAGTAAGGTTGTCAGGTGGTCAGATATCCGTCGACTGGTTGGTTGCAGCTCAACCGCTGCATCCAAGAAGAATGGAAAGACTAGCAAACCAAACGTGGCATGAAGAGATGCGATGTGTAAAAACACGGTGAGATAGAGGCCACACACGAAAATATTCTCCATCAATCACCCCTTTACGATCACACGAAAGCTATGCCACGAGCAGTACTGAAGGAACTTCTGCTTTTCCAGTGGCCAGGCTGGAGGAATTTACCAATGTCACCATGTACAGAGTCCCACTTCTGGAACTAAACAATCAATGTGGATGTTGTGTCAACTAAGAACTGGGTCTGGATGAATGAAGGAGGTCGAGCGCTGTGAGTTGTTGGTTCACGATATACGGGCTGGAAACCGGAACTGAGGAGAATACTGGTAACTCAGGTTGCAGTGATGGACGCTGACTTGCCCATAGAGCTGCTCATCGCCCAGCTCAGCAAACACACAGTGCAGAGCAAAATTTATCCACTCGCGCCATCACGTGTAAAAATAACACTCGTTGATCCCTCCAATAACGTTGCGCGCTGGACTCTGGCATGCATCGCCCAGCTCAGCAAACGCACACAGTGCAGAGCAAAACTTATCCACCCGCGCCATCACGTGTAAAAATAACACTCCTTGATCCCTCCAATAACGTTGCGCGCTGGACTCTGGCATCTACCTTCGCGGTCGTCGACAGAGACGGCTGCCAGATGCCAGAAGGCTGCCGTGTCATTGTAATATGACCTTAAAAGGGGAAGACTAGTTAGGCTAGACGACAGGCTGTAGCAACAGTGACAGTGATCGATTGGAACATACGGGGAACATGCTTCAAGACCCGTAACATGCAGCTGCAAGCTGTCTGATATGACAAAATGGTAGACGAACACAGTGAAGTAATAAAACAAAGCAAGCGATCAGATGTATACTCAAACGCCAGTAGGAGCTTGTATCGCGGATTGAGGTGCACATCATTGGTGAGCAACCAATGTGCATTTTGGCGAATGGTGTAGGATACGCGCATCACGTCGTTCATCAAAATGTTGCAATATGAACTGAAGGTAGTGAAGTGATAAACATTGCGGCTCGTTCACATTGGAAGAGGTAAAATTCCTCATCTTAAAAACATGAAATCCGCTTGAAAGACATATAAACTGTTCTTCATTGAAGTGCAGAAAGCGTGTGGCGCGGTTCTTACTGCTAAACCGTGCCAATTATTTCGAAGCCTTTCTGAGATGTTTTCTAGGGAAGTATTGTGTTCAAATACTTTGCAGCTCGTCAACAAGCGCTCGGTTGCAACCTTTTCCACGGCTTCGCCTTTTTTGGGAAGATTCATCAGATTCTGTCAAAAATGTCCTTATAAAGATCCGACCGTTTCACTATGATAAATATGGCTTGCGAAAGTGCATGAACATCGAGTATTAAAGTACTGACAGTTATCCCCCAGGAGAGAACTGCTGGTCGGAGGGGGGATACAGGAAACAGGTATTCATTTCTTTTCGTAAAAAAAAACTTCGAGCTGCTGGAGACAGCGCACGTCTCTGGTGGAAGGTATTATTTACACGGCTGTTTTCATTATACAAAATATATCCAGGTAAATTCCGAGGATTGCTTGTTGTTGTAGCGTGCTATGTATGAACGCCGAGTCTTAACCTCGGAAATCAACCAAGAAGGTCACAGTTTGCTTCCGGAGTCTCTCACTGAGCGTACGTGCGAACCTACTGGACGTGGATAAGAACTCTCCATTGGTTGTCTGAACTCGTTTGAGTGCGACTGGTTCAGCTCCTGATTGGTTCTTTAATTTACTTGTGGCTGGTTGCGGGACCCGCTGCTTGTGTTGACCGGCTGTTGTTTACCTTCATTTCTCTGAATGTCTGTAGTACTGACCACAACAAAAAACCTACTAACCGGATTAATTTTTGAATTTAAAACGTGAAGTATTCCGGTAATTGGCCAGCAGACCGAATCCGGAGGTTTCTTGGCTGTCTTGTAACCTGTTGCAGCCGCCGCATGTCAAGCATCCCCCTCTACCCCTACACACCGTACCGAGTAATTCAGTATATTCACACTGCATTTTGTCTGTCCTACTAAGCCTTTCTTCACACCAAACATGAGTTTCCCCACCAACTAGTACACAGCGATCTGGGTTCCAAGGACAACTCTTCCCGTATTTGTTCCAAAATGTCAAACTCAGTTGTCATTCCACGTATGGCGCTTACTCCGTTTCAATTCACTGACAGGCACAGGCTACAACAACTAGCCAATCAGCGCGCCCGAACTACCCATATTCCACAACACTGCCAGTCTTTACGGAGTCTGCCTTTCTGTAAACGGCTCCGTCACAGAGTGATACAATGTATTGCAGTGGTATTTTGAAAATAGAAATAATTCCGAGGAAGTAAGGTCTTCCAAAGGTGAGTCTCCTTTGAGATTGAAATTAGGGTGTTAAAGCATCACACAGTATTAACTGTCCACTTCATAAGCGTCAAACCAGTTTACAAAAATGAAGGCTGAACCATGGCTAGTTATGGCTTATCAGGTTTATCAGGCCACAACAATGCGGTTCCAGTTGTCGTTCGAAGCAGTTTGCCTGAGCTGCAACCACAGACAAGCAGAAATTTGACCTAGGAAAATCCTACCGCTTCTGTTAGGTTGGTTGCCTTCGTCCGAACTTTTTGTGACAATGTACTCCCACCAGAGGAATACCTAAGGAACCTACTGGTGTACGGATGATTCTGTAATGCAGGACCAAGCTGAACTTCTGCAGATGAGAAGCTCAGGTTATTCGGTCAAATTCATAACGAGAGCAAATTCAACTGACCAACGCCCCGAAAATTCGCTCCAGCAAGGTGAGACCGCTCAACATCACGAAAATTGGATGAGTGAAAACGAAACAAAAGTGGCCCTTTGAGATAAGTAAAGTCTTCCACAGTCTTCTTTCAAGACGTGTTAATGAAAGAGCGTTAGCACCATTACAAAAACTTAACTGTCGCGAAATACCCACAGACGACGCAGTTCTACGGATCTGCGTCCTTGCGAGCGAACCATTGGCGCTACGAGATGTGTTCAACTGAGCCTGCAGTTCGATTCTATCACCCTCTAGACGATGGACGCGAGTTTTCAGTTCATCCCGTTCAGCCTCCAGCTCCTCGATTCGTGAGCGCAAACGAGCGATAGCTGCATGCCATCTTACTTCACGTCTACTCAAATCCGATCGAGCTTCCTGGAGCTGGAAAAAAGAGGGAGGTTCGAAGTTCATGTGAGACAAACTGTACATGACGAAGTATGCACCAATTCTGATGGAATGTAGAATTCAGACGCTGAGAGCCACCAGCTGTAACATGTCAGCGGGATTGTGCCTTAGTTACATGAAACATCGCTTATTCCTATAAACTACGGCAGCTGTGTCCGCCGGTATCTCTTACGGCTTGATTTTTCTCTGTGTGTTGCCCTCATTCGTTCGTGACTGAAAATTAGCCAGCCGGGACAAGTTTAACACTTGGTTCGTTCGAAAAGTTTACAAGGCTTCCGAGTTACCCGGAGAAGAATATGTCACATCCGATCTGGCAAACGAACAGGATGTAGGCGAGATAGAGGAGAAACATTATTTCTTCTGCAACGTAAAATACAGGGGGGACAAACCTCATCTCTGAGACGCTCGATTTCCTCACGTTCTTTTTTGGCTGGCATAGATTTGAGTGCGCGCTGGTATTCATCCAAAACACGACGTTCTTTTCTAATGAGCATATAAATGAAAGGATGACATTAATGAGGTATTTTTGCAGCAGAATCGCAGGTTATTCGGAAAGATAAATTCATAGATGAAGAAGACCGCTTTCATTACAAGGGAAAAAACGACCGTGCAGAGTCTAGATTGGATCGGCTAAACCTGCATGAAACTGTCGGTTATTTAACTCCACATTTGCCCAGCAGCTGTTCGGTTAGTGATCGCCGGACCTTCTGTGGTTGGTTTGCATGTGAAAAAGCATGACTACACCCGTTAAGCTCTCCTAGAACGGCAACTGGATGTAGAGGCGGGTGTTTGGATTCTTGAACTTCATGTTCACGCAGTTGTTGTTAGATCAGTGTCTGGACTTTTCACCACAAATAAAGCCAACTGAACGCAGTACTGGGCAGGAGCAAAACAAATGTCCACAGCTTCACTGGCTGGTTGAAAGTTCCGGGGGGAAATTGCTACCTTGTGAGTCGCGTATCTCGTTTTACGCAAACCAAGACGACAGATTGTGCAACTACTGCTATTCGCACAGTATATCGCTCTTCAATAATGTTAGACAAAGTGTCGTACAGCAAATCCAAGTATGGTAACGAACCGCCACTTGTTCTTCAGTTTGCACATTTTGTGTCTTGAACATATGAATGACCAGAATGAACATCCCTTGTGCTGAAGGTTTGTCTTTTTCATTCAGGTGGTTAGAGCGCGAATCTACTAACTGGAAGGTCCGTGGTTCTGACACAACCTGTGCCTCTCGACTTCCCCTGTATAGGCTTGGGCAACCTGGCAATATCCCAGCCCTTGTGCTCCCTTCAGGTGGCATGGCAGCTGGGCACCAGAAGGGTGCTACAGCTGAAGGCTTTCGCTTTCTTTTCTATACACCTTAACTGCTGAAAAATACCCTAAAGTAGAGCAAGACTGTTCCAAAAGCACTTCTAAAATGTCTCAGATTCCACTGGACCGTGTCCTGAACCTATAAGGTGTCAGACATTCACCAAAGTAGTGTTATTTAGAGGCGGGCAACTAGGATATACGAAGCTGATATACGGGCCCGCACAACAAACCACGGTATATCGCGGAAGAATTTCAAGACTTGTTGGGGTGGCTGCAGAGACCACTCAAGGGATCCTAGGATGCCGTCGCCCAAGAACAGTTGATCCGCATCTATGAGACATCATTCAGCCGGACGAAAAGACCAAACGTCGAGCCATCTTCTATGCCTCCTCTGACATGAGTTCAAGTACGTGCGAAGACAAGGATTACTGGTAGCGGCCGAGAAGGTGTGCTCAGCGCTTCCTTAAGCTGGCGCATCCAATCAGACGATGGTTTTACAGTGTCAGAAGACAGAACACAATTTCTGAAAAGACCAACTATTGGGTGGCACACTCTACTACAACCTGGTTGAGTCTGATCAGTTACCACCCCCAAACAATAAGCAGTCAGGCTATGAATGAAGTAGGTGCATAAAGAATGCCAACCGGGAGGAGAACTCACTTCAGCTTACGCATTTCATTTTCCTTATAGTCACTGAACAGCTTCCTTTCCTTTTCTCTCATTTCTTCAAACTTCTTTGTTTCACACTCCAGACGCTTCATACTCTACGGGAAGTAGAAAAACGGACAAAACATGCAAGCAATATAGTGCATTCGTTCTATACACGGAGATAACCGGAGATACGGTTAACGCTGTGCACGTAGACGCGGAAGCCAGAATGTCTACAACTCAATGCATCAACAACGTTGCCCGAAATGCAATAGCTAGATAAAAAGATAACCATTAAGATAAGTTGCCCAGGTTCCCTCAGCTGAACAGATTAATAGCGATAGGGTGGGTCCAACAGCACAATATTCTGCAGTCTCAAATCCTGGTCACCAAATATCAGAAGATTTAGGAGTTAATGAAGCTACTTCGTCCCTGGAAATTACAATTATAATTTCAGAACCCTACAACAGGTGAGGATCACGAATATTCTAGAATGCGTTCATAAAATGTTTAAATAATTTGGAAGATTAAGGATTAATCGGAAGACAGGCGGTTACTGTGCTTTCAAAGGATACTAAATGTCAACCAAACTTACAAAGTACCCGTTAAAACTAGGACGCCAGACACCGTAGCCAATGGCTTGAGAAAATACTCAGAGCTTATGTACCAGAATGAACTCCAGAAAGGTAAGTGGTTAAGGCACAAAACCACTGGTCTTCCGGTCAGTAGCTTTTCGCAGCCCCTCTCCAGGATCAGCCTTTGTGCTTCCTTCGAAATACACGGCAGTCAAGCACCGAAAGGGTGCTATAGTTGAACAACTAGCAGTTAGTAAAACATCAGAATGAAACGAAGTGTTCATTGAAGAACAGATACCACTCGCATAAGTCGGTCATAAGAATGACAAGCTACCAGAGCTCCTCATTCACATTGGAATGAGAGTCAATCCCAGAGTTCGATTTCCTCATTCCGACTTGAATATTAGTGATTTTAAGTGTTACTTTGAGAACGGTGTGATCTAGTGTTGACAACAGAACACATACCTCTTCACGTTCTGCTTTCAGGCGAAGCAAATTGGTGTTTTCCGTTTTAAATCGTCTAACCTCCGATTCAAGTCGAGTTATCCACTGCCGGATAGCAGCTTGAGATTCCACGTAGGTTCGACCGACGGCGGACTGCTGTAACAGTAATTGGATGGTTATAAGTCAGCGAAAACCTAGTGAGTAGCAAAGCTGAGCAGAGTCACACATGCCATCCATCGGGTCTACTGGGCTATTCTTTCCAAGTAAAAAAAACTTGTCTAACGTACATGAAAACGGAAGAACGATTTACTGGCGTCGAATACTACAAAGTCCGACCGGTAAAATATAATTATCCATCGAGGATATATGGGGACGTGAACACGATCCCTTGAATTACTTTCTGACAGAGGTGACCAGCTAGGTTGAAACATTTGCTAGCGTACAACAGTCCAACATTTCACGGTTGATGGACAACCTACACAGCAACAGCGTATATGTACGCCTGAAAATATTCGGTCGCAGAAGTAGAGGTAGCAGGTGGCGATATGGATGGCACTCTGGATGCATCTGGAGCATCAGTATCATACCCAGAGTATTCAGTTACACAAGAGACACCAGAAAAGAAAACGCGTTTGAAATGAGCAGAACTTTGAGAAAAAGAGAAGCGGCAAGCTAAGTGGGACTTTGAGACCAAGTCCTGCGATATATTTATATATATATAATGTATATATGTGATTTTTCGCCCAACCTGCGGCAGCTTCTTCGACGTGGGGTTATGCTTGTGTGATACAATGAACAGGAGGGCTATTATGACTGGAATCCTCGTTGCTTTGGGTTTAATTTTTTCAGAAACTCCTGACCGGGAAAACGAACCAAAAGCAACAAGTCTATCATAGGTTTAACCACATCATAGGGTTGACCATTAGTAACATCGTCCTGTCCGTTGCGACAGGAGCTGAGGACAGTCGGGTCCTCCATCCTTTATGAAAGCTGCAGCATCCGCTTGATCAGTTAGAGCTATTTCGTGCACCTCACGCCGTGAAGAACAAGATCGCACGTTAGATGTTTGTCGGTGCACCATTAGTGTCTGCTGCCTACGGTAGCTGACACTCCTCGTTGCCCGTATGTAGGTATACGTGCAGCCTTCCCAGCTTCATGGGATGTTCAGTTGTTCACATCACATATGAAAGCCGAAAGTCATGCACGTAGCTATTGGTCACTGAACAGCTTAATTTCCGGTCTCCGAGTACCCACGCAACGAAGTTTGGTACACGATAACCCTTACTCTGATTCTAGCTGGGTACTTTCTATTGTTTGTTTGGGCTAAAGGCATGTGGACAGTGGAATAGTGGTATGCATCCAGTAATCCACAAGAGTCCCATTGCACTTACGATTGTTAATTTATAGGTTGTTGTAGCAACAGAATCCTGGTTGAATGCGGTTAGAAAATATTATCCGCCTACAGTGGGGCCCCCATATATATATA